AGCCAATCAATATGTTGTTTTTCCGTAAGAGCTAGAAGGTTATTACGGAAAGCAGCTTATTGATTGACTGTCGCGCGAACTTCCGCCGCAGTAAGATTTTGACATATCCAAAACGTCATAAACCAAGCTTAGACATATGGTGAACAAACCGCTTTGACACGTTAGTGATTTTGTTTTGGCGTCATATACTTTTGGTTGTGTGAAAATGTCTGATTTTGTGCCAAATAATCGTCATTTGCGGGAAGTGTTGATTTTCTTATTTCATTCGAAGAAAATGGCGGCTGAAGCGCATCGAGAGCTCCAAAAAGTTTACGGAGATGCTGCTCTAAGTGAAACAACGTGCCGTGATTGGTTTCGTCGCTTCAAAGACGGTGATTTCGATGTTGACGACCGTCCGCGTGAAGGAAGGCCAAAAACCTTCGAAGACGCTGAATTGGAGGCATTGCTCGGTGAGGATCCGTGCCAAACGCAAGAACAGCTTGCTTCAGCATTAGGAGTTACCCGCCAAGCTTACTTTCCAAGCGATTGCATGCGTTGGGAATGATTCAAAAGCAAGGAACTTGGGTTCCTTATGATTTGAAGCCAAGGGACGTTGAGCGTCGTTTTTTCGCCTGTGAACAACTGCTCCAGCGGCAAAAAAGGAAGGGTTTTCTTCATCGCATCGTGACGGGTGATGAAAAATGGATTCATTACAGCAACCTAAAGAAAAGAAAGTCATGGGGACTGCCCGGTCATGTATCTTCGTCGTCGGCTCGGCCGAATATTCACGTTGCGAAGGTTATGCTGTGTATTTGGTGGGACCAGGTCGGTGTTATTTATTATGAGCTGTTGAAACCGAACGAAACCATCACTGGGGAACGGTATCGAATTCAATTGATGCGATTGAGCCGAGCACTGCGCGAAAAACGGCCACAATACGAGCAGAGGCACGAAAAAGTGATTCTACTGCATGACAACGCTCGGCCTCATGTTGTCAAACCCGTTAAAACCTACTTGGAAACGCTCAAATGGGAAGTCCTACCCCACCCGCCATATTCCCCAGATATTGCGCCGTCCGATTATTACTTGTTCCGTTCGATGGCACATGGTCTGGCTGATCAGCAGTTCCGCTCATATGAAGACATAAAAAAATGGCTTGATTCATGGATAGCCTCACAAGACGAACGCTTTTACCGTAACGGTATTCGAGCTCTGCCAGAAAGATGGGAAAAAGTTGTAGCTAGCGATGGGCAATACTTTGAATGATTCATTTGTAACCATTTTTTCACAATAAAGTTGCATTTTCATAAAAAAAAAAACAGCGAGAACTTAGTTGCGCACCTAATAAAACAATGAAAACATAATAAATGTAAATGTTATCCATAAAAAAAGCATGAATTTTTATTTATTTTTATAAATCAATATTTTTGATGGATAGGAGAATAATGCACTTTTAAGACGCTAGATGTAAACGAAAAAACAATTTAAAGCAATTTATTATAAAATATTTGATATTTTTACTTCGCACGATTTTGTGACGTAAAGTACACACTGGTAAAACTAATCCGAACCTCACCTTCCAATGCTCGCCCGTCGGCTCCTGCGCGTAGAATGAATGCACCCAGCGGAGGAATGGAAGTTGGGACTACAAACTCCTTCTCCCCCCCCCCATCGGTCCCAGTTCCTTGCACCTTCGCATTCCGAGACGCTGCACTTTTGAAAAACGACCTGAGTTACGCTAACCCCGTGTGTACTATGAGGATTAAAATATGGACTAAATATTTTATGCAATATCTATAGTAAAAAAAAAATATTTCTAGAAAGATTTTATAAATATTTTAGGAACATAAAGGGAAAAAGTATGAAAATCTTTGTTTAAAATATTATTAAACTACAGATTAAATAATAGTTAAATATTAATGGCACATAAGGAGCTAGCACGGATGTCTTAGTACTATTAAATACTAATATAACTTTAATATTAATATGATTGTGGGAGGATAAACATGCCCAGTATGTCAAACGCACGTATCGAAATTTTCTCTTCGCTTACCGTACGCGGAGAATCAACCTGCCATACTTAGACCGATCTTTAAGTCCCAATTTTAAATATATATTTGATTAAAATCCCAAACCCCCATTAAATCCCCATTAATATATTTGATTTTAATCAAATATATATTTAAAATTGGGACTTAAGGATCGGTTTAAGTATGGAAGGTTGATTCTCCGCGTACGGTAAGCGAAGAGAAAATTTCGATACGTGCGTTTGACATACTGGACATTTTTATCCTCCCACAATCATATTAATATTAAAGTTATATTAGTATTTAATAGCACTAAGACATTCGTGCCATTAATATTTCACTATTAGTTAACTCTATCAAGGAGCGTTCTGTTATTTCGGTTTATAGATTAAATATTTTATACAATATTTATAATAAATAAAGAATAAATATTTGTAGTAACATTTTGTAAATGTTTCTATTAACAATTATTATACATGAAAAAAATAAATATAATTATTTATAACTATTAAGCTAAAAAATAAAAAAATTCGAAATTTAAATTGGTAATGTACACTGAAAAAAATTCTTTAAATTAAAGAAATATATTTTGTTAAATATAATTTCTTAACTTAAAAAATACTTGTTAGATTTTGGAACACATGTAATAAATATAACGTAATATTTTTTATTTATAAGATGAAATGTAAAATTATGAATTTCTACATAAAAAAATTATCAGGAACTTTAATAAGTTCTCGCTGTTTTCCAACAAATAGCGTTATCAGAACTGCGTGCGTGTTGTTTAAGATGGTAATGCATCTATAAGGAAGTACTATAAGCAAGTTTGAAATTCAGTGTATGTCATTTCGCCGAAGTGTAAACAACTTTTTTTTTTTATAGTGTTAAACATGTCGAGTTTCGTGCCAAAAAAAGAGTATTTGCAGGGAATTTTACTGCACTACTTTATTAAAAAAAAAATCTGCAGCTGAAGCACACAGAATTCTTGTTGAGATTTACGGCGACCATGCTCTGTCGGAAACAACATGCAGAGATTGGTTTAGACGCTTCAAAAATAATGATTTTGATGTTGAAGATAAAGAACGCTCTGGCGCGAAAAAGTTTAAAGACGAAGAATTGGAGGCATTACTTCATGAAGTCTTATGTCCGACACTAGCTGAACTTGCAGAATCATTAGGAGTTGATCACACAACAGTTTCGAAACGTTTGAAAGTATTAAGAATGATTCAAAAGCAAGGACATTGGGTGCCGTACGAGTTGAAGCCGAGAGACATCGAACGGCGTCTTTTCACGTGTGAACAGCTGTTTCAACGGCAGAAAAGGAAAGGTTATTTGCATCGTATCGTGACTGGCGATGAAAAGTGGATACACTACGATAACCCTAAGCGTAGAAGATCGTGGGGTAAGTCCGACCATGCATCAACATCGTCGGCAAAGCCGAATATCCATGGTTCAAAGCTTCTGCTCTGCATTTGGTGGGATCAGCTCGGTGTAGTTTATTATGAGCTGCTCAAACCGAACGAAACCATCACGGGAGATCGCTATCGACTACAATTGATGCGTTTGAGCCGAGCATTGAAGGAAAAACGACCGCTATACGAGCAGAGACACGACAAAGTGATTTTGCAACATGACAACGCTCGGTCACATGTTGCACAACCGGTGAAAACCTACTTGGAAACGCTTAAATGGAAAGTCCTACCCCACCTGCCGTATTCACCAGACATTGCCCCTTCCGATTATCACTTGTTCCGATCGATGGCACATGGCCTGGCTGAGCAGCACTTCCATTCTTATGAAGATACCAAAAAATGGATCGACTTTTGGTTAGCCTCAAAAGACATGTCGTTTTTCCGATGTGGAATTCAAATGCTGCCAGAAAGATGGGAAACAGTAGTAGCTACCTAAGGAACACAGAACAGTCAAAATGACGTCATTTAACATTATGTTTTTATCGCGGCAAAGAAGTCAAAATGACGATTTTTGGTAACAAAATTTGACGGTTTATTGACGTCAAGAAAACATCCCAGATAGTACAGAGAATTAAAAAGAATTAAAAAAATATTCAGTCGCATGTCACCAATTCTAAGTTCATTTTGAGATGCAAAAAGAATTTTTCAGAGTTCAGTTTAGTGAAAAGGATTCTTTTTGCCTCTCAAAATGAATTCAAAATTGGTGATCTAAAATTATAATTCTTTAAGAATTTTTGTGCTATCTGGGATCTTACTAGTAGTATAAGAACCCAGTAAAAATTATTTTTTCTGTATTGACATATTTTTTAAATATCACAAATTTATGTAAAACATTTATTATAAATATAATGTAATTTATTACATGTTAAATATACGTATATATATAAATATGTACATAAATACAAAGAAACTAAAATGATTGTACAGCACACAGAGTTTAGTGTTAAAACTGAAAGCAAAAATATAAAATAATCAGCACTTTCTGCACCAAGTGCGCACACATATCAAGAATAAAAACAAAAAAATGTATTACTACTGTCCCTGTTATGACGTTATAAAATAAAAATATCGCGCATTTATACCACTTGCTGAGCACTGGTGGTAAACCAACGTTTTACGTATTCTTCAGTTTTCTGTAAATTTACTGATGTACCAAATTTGTTTAAAATAGCAGCTGCAAAGAGATATATCATTAATCAATAAATTTGTCTCTTTTGAAATACAGCGGTAGTATTATGCAAGGAGATACTTCGTAACTGCTGATTTTAAAATATATATTTCAAATTTTTATAATCAACATAATTTTTCAACATTAATATTTCTCAGTGAACATAATGTTACATGTAACGTACAGATGAGTTGTAATTTCCTACTGAACAATGTAACTGTTATATAACACATATAACTAACATATACGTGTAACGTTAGGTATAACGTTGTGTTCACTGAGTTGTGCTACAAATAATGATGACTATTCTGTACCTAGTTTATCTCTCTTGAATTTTGTCAAAATATGAAATAACTCCTTATATTTCAATTATTATTTGTAAATAGAATGCATTAATGTATAAGATAAAGTAATTACCTTGAGTAGCCTCAAATGTTTTTCTTTTGTTAAATGCTATTTTCTTTTCTGAGTACCTTTCCAACTAATACATCTGGAGAGAGAATTCGTTATAATTTTCGGGAGTACACACCGCACAGCAGCAATTTCTGATTTCTCGTTTTTCATTTTAGCCATAAGGACATCTACCTGTACAACAGTGTCACGGATGAATAAACATTATATGATTTTGATCTTGTTAGAACACAGTAACGCGGTAACAAAGAACGGAAAAAATATTCAATTAAAAATGAAGTACACGATTACCACGTATAAATGCATTATTATTTGTGAGAATTTCTTCCATTTGTTCCCATTCTTCTTCTTTACGTAGAGGAAATGCTGGGATTCCGTGTGGTTTGTTTAATTTTATTTCCTCTGGGAAGAGCTTATTTAGGATCCGGTATAACTTAACTTCCACATGTTCAAGCTTCACACGTATTTCTTCTTGAACTTTAACAAAATTTTCAGTAATTGTCCATGTTATATTTGTGCTCCCTGAAAATGATATTTATGTTCACTTATAGCATTTTGTACTGAGAAAACTAGTGCAACACTGCTATAATACAGTGAGCAAAAAAGTTGTTCCACTACCTTTTTTATGCAGTTTGGAGCTACTTAATTTTTCAATAAAAGAATAAATCATCTGGGAATATTTCCAAAACTAGTTCTTTCATTTAGGATAATTGGCTGCGTTCTAAATTCCATTGAAAAAGTAGTAACAACCTTTTTGTTTGCAACTGTACTGCATTAGTGCTGCACTAGTTTTCTCAATGGAAAATAGTATTAATCAATTTTACTTTCATTTTGTAAGTGGTATGAAAATGAAAAATGTAGAACTATTTATCGTCATTTTTTTTTCTTATTGTGGGAGAAGTCCCTGGAAAAAAGAAAGTTCAGATATGGATTTTGTCAAGATCTGATTACATATAATCAGATGTAACGTTATATATGACTCAGATCTATCCACATATATAATCATATATAATTGTATAAATGATTATATATGATTATATATTATTATATGTGGACAGATCTGAATCATATATAATGTTACATCTGATTATATCTAATCAGATGTAGACAAAATCCATATCTGAACATTTTTTTGTCCCGGGTCGCCACAGCCTGGCTAATAATATATCATATATAGTTTAAGACAAATAGTTGGAAAATAAATTATTATTATCACCTTTCAAGGGCGATTTTATGTTATTTGTTGTTACTGAATTTTTCATTTTATCAATATCTTGCTGCGCTGACCTATGTTCTTCAAAATCTTGCATAATATCATTTTCATTATATTCCTCACTGTCCCGGCAAACTTGAATCTTTTTGTTACGATCTAATCCACGCAATATAGGGGAAAATGTAGAAATTGATGATGATAGCGATGCGAGCAATATTTAAGAATAAATTATATCTAAAAAAAAATATAAAATAAGTAATAGCTTACATTGCCAAAAATTCCAAAACCGATTAGAATACTCATATTTTGTCTTCAAACTTATTGCATATAACGGGTGGAGAAAGAAAATAAGCAAAATATATTTCATAATATTGATTACTAGCTGTGCAAGTGTAAGTGGTATTAGATAAGAAAGTAATGTTTACTCTATATAGGAAAAAGGTAATCCAGAAAGTATCATAAAAATATTCTAGTAGAAAAGTAGGCTTACCATCGGTATTTAATGAAGGTTGACATAAGTTCTCAAAGGCATGAAGATCTGTGTGTTGTAGTACACCGGGAACATCAGTAATATTTCCATTTCCTGTATCTGCAGGACTCTTTCCATAATTCATAACAATTTCTATGTAACGAAAAGCAATTTTGAGGTGTTAATATAGCCTATACAAGTATTATAAAAACGAAAGAAAAGTTTATACTTTACAGTTATAAATGCCACTCAAAGATTACATTTGTTACCTTTCTGTGCTGATCTTTCGGGAGATACTTTATCATTTATTGCTTTCATAGGTTCATTCATGATCAAGACTTTTTGTTTTGTATTTGATATATCTGTATTACATTTCGATGTTTCTTTAGAATGAGAAAGTTCAACTTTCAATGCAGCGAGCTGTTCTCTGATATTTTTTTCAGGTGCCGGTACACTGTTTATTTTAGATATATTTTTATACTTTTCATGTTCCTTGCTCTATTTACGTTGCATCTGTCGACGTAATTTTCCTGTAATTTGCAGATTACGTTTGTTACGCATATCTTCTGTTTTTGAATCGTCATCATCAGAAGTATGAGTAAATCTAGTTGGAAGTTGACGCTTTCGTGGTTTCTCGTAATCAGTCTCTATGTTTGAGTCAATAGGTATATTTTCAGAAGCCAATATAGCGGCTTTGCGAGCTTGGTTATAAGTTTCTACAAGTACGAAGGAAAGAATAGTTCTATAACCAAATAATATATATAAATGTTACATTATGCTTACTATAACTATGCAAAAGTCGACGTTACATTCTTCCCAATCTTCTTGCATTTCCATAAGAGACATTACTAGTCTCGTAGCACATTTGCTTTTAGTAGGATACATGACACACTATCTTTAGATTTATTTAGCCATTTACTCGCCACGACACATATGCCATCATCTGGCCAAACGATAACTGGAAACTATAGAGACAAAAAAAGCATATTAAACATTTAATATTTCTATTACATTGTGGTAAACTCCATCAATACCAAATTATTGTCACGGGCATGACATAATATTGCTGAAAAGCATGAAAGCGGCACACACACATATATCAAGCTCACAAAAAAATGAGAAAATGAAAATATATAATCATTTGTCCCAAAAAGTCCTAAAGAGAAAATATAAAACATTATTGACATTCAGTGTCATCGCTCATGTTTAAGAATGAAACGCATGCCATTTACACAGCGTATTAAGTAAAAAAAAGATGCAAGACTCCTACAAATGAAATGTTACTGCACTTAGTTAAACGAAATTTCTTACCCCTACTTTATTGTTGCCCAGTATAAATGAGCGGAATACACTATCATCGACAGGAATGAGAATGAATTTGTGGAGCACCTGCTTAATACACCAGATATTTTCAGCTTTCTCAAGTTCCGATACTTTACAGATGCCAATGACTGTAGAATTGATAGAAAATGTAAAAAAGTTACTAATGTTTCTAAATCTATGTCCATGTAGAAAATCCGTGTACTACGAAAAGGATAAGTAATTTTGGAGAGGACGACCACCTCGCCATTTTTTGATTAAAAACAACAATCGGCTTCTGATGTGGAAAGTGTCATTCCTTGAAATGTCAACTTGGAATAAAGTTCTATTTTATGGCCTTCCTCATTACGTTTTCGATATAATGTTATACACTGTTCGTCAATCATATCTTTTTGCATGAGTCGACCTCCTCTTTCAAAGTCTCTATTATAAAGTTGTTGAAGAGGCATATATGTTGATCTTAAGCAACGTTTGATGACACCAAAATAGTTTTCGTACTTAAATGCGCTGAAATGGCTGAGAACTGCATGGGTATGGCATTCTGCAGCTAAATGGCAAAGTGAATTGACGTAATAAGTGACAAATTCATTTCCAAAAATATCCGCAGCATGATGAATAAATGCACGAAGAAGAAAGTCTGCTATTTCAATCATGCCTTTTTAAGTAAAAGTGGGCTCGAAAGAATGTACACTCCATTATGCAGAAATAAATAATTTATGTATAGATTTCGATCTAATAAACTGAAAATTTTTAATCCATCATACAGGAGAATTCTTCTTAACTCTGATGCCTTGTATTTTCGAAAATAAGAAAAGTTGCGAGGTCTTCTACAGAATTCGACCGGAATATGAGATTTAATTTCATCAATTATCGCAGAAATAGCAGCCTTATCGCGTGCTGAGATTTGTCCTTTATTTGGGCCTCGTTTTCCTAACACAAACTCCAATCATCGTTGAAAAACTCCACTATACAGAAGATGCATTTCATCTAACCTAAATTGTGATACCATACCGATTCCAATTTCTTCTAACGGAGACGTAATTCCAGAAATATGATGGTTATCTATTTTGTATCTAAATTCATCATCATTACGAAGACAGGCATCATCGTCCAGAAAAACTTCCCTGTTCTTATAGCAGACGCCAATGACATGACATTTTTCACAAGCTTTTTTTGATGTGTGCCCTTTAATGCACTCTATAAATGCTTTTGCAGGAGCATCCAAAACAAAATTTCGTACTTCTACACGATATGTAGTGTAGCCTTTAAATGTAATTCCATTTAACATTAAAGTGGATAATTCATCTACAAACTGCCGCAGGAAGGTTTACCTTCACCATGGTAAACTGCTATTATAAATGGCTCTTTCTCATCCACGAGACAACCCAAGATTGGTCAAAATACTTGACGGGAACTTGGATATAATTCCAGACCGTCAATGTTAACACCAAATAATCTCTCTATTACAAAGATACTTTTCTGACAACCGTGATACAACACTGCAAATAATTCCTTTATACCAGAATCTACCGTTTCCCATTTCCACTAAATTTGTATTCCTGTTAGTTTTTAATAAACTTCGGTAGGTTTTTCGGTAGAATGGAGAACACTATGTGCAATATTCGAAGAAGTTCATAAATTTTTCTACAGAAAACTCCTTTCATAACCCACTTTTTCAATTTGTGAAGAAAATATATATTTCTTTCTTCATTATTATCGCATAAAGTCCTCAAAACTTCAATATCAACTGCTTTGCAGACATCAATATATTCGGAAAAATTTGATTCATATTCAACATCACTGTTATCTTCACGACTATTGCTGTTACAATTCTCACCAGTTGCATTACTTTTACAAGATCTTTCCTGGTTAATGCTACACTCATTCTCATTTCCCAGCTGAGTTTCTATAATTTCCAGCTCATCATTATTCCAGTGATTCTCAAAACCTCCGTCGTGCTCATTTCTTATTTCATCATTACTGTTGCTCGAGAGAGGTGAATAATTAAACATATTCTCAATACGATGATATAAGTTTTCAATATGCAACTGTGTTGTTGCTCTTGTGTTAGCCTTACGACTAACTTTTCTTTTACGAGTCTGCATGATATATAAGAAAGACAAAATATATAGATAGAATGCTTTCATATAATAATAATTTGTGAACTTCAATTATTAAAAATCTGTAAAATATTCTACATGTACTCGCCATAGGTAAAGCAAACCTTTCTAAAGTAAAATTTTTATTAAAGTAGAATATAAATGCACCAATATATATTAATTATTTTTTCAACATATAGTTGTATCAAATTTTTACGTTTCAAAGCGTACTTCTACATATTTATATATTATTACTTACAACCATGTTTAACAATAAAATTGTTTTAATTTGCTTTTTATTTAATTATATAATATTTTTCATATTATATAGAACATAATTTGTGATTATCTTCTCAATATCTTACAATATTTGATAAATATAAAATAATTATATGCATTAACTACATCTCATATACAATAAATAAAATAATTAAAATATAGTTAACATTTTTCAGTTACAATAATGATGTACTAAGATTTGAATATAATGTGTCCTCTCAAAATGAAATAACCGTGTTATTTTCATAGAACTTGATGTGTTGAAACATTAATGGAATAGACTGTATAGTAATTACTATAACAGTCTATATCTGTATAAATATTAGTAATATAAAAGTAATAAAAATATAATATATTGTGATAAGCTTCTAAAAATATTGTAAAATTGTTAATAATTAATAAAAATGACGTATAATATTAATGTAATATATTAAAACAAAATTAAAACATGGAAAAATTTAATACGTTAAATATTTTTCAATAAATACATAATTCTAATTTATAAAATTATTGTTATATTTAAACATAATAAAAAATGAATGAATTGAATAAATATCGCGAATGTTTGTCATATTAATAGATTATAATAAATTATACCTGGGAAAAAAAAGTTGAGATAAAAGCCAGATATGGATTTTGTCAAGATCTGATCAGATATAATCATTTATAACGTTATATATGATTCAAATCTGTTCACATATAATAATATATAATCATATATAATCATTTATACTTTCATATGTTATTATCATATATAATTATATATGATTATATATGGACAGATCTGAATCATATATAACGTTACATCTGATTATATCTGATCAAGTCTTGATAAAAACTATATCTGAACTTTTGTTCTTGGATAGTATTCAAAATATACTTTTATATTATCATTGAATAGATTAAAATCATGTGAAGAAAAAATACAAATTCAATGAATAAACTGAAAGCTCTGCGATTATATGTAATCAATTTATAAATCATAATAAATCATAGTAATAAATCAAAGTTATAATCATTGAGTGAATTTAAGTCATGTAAAGACAAAATATTAATACAATAGTTAAACTGATGTGTGTGTGTGTATGTATGTGTGTGTGTGTTGTGTGTACTGCGATAATTAGATAATATTTACAAATCATAAAAAAATAACAGTTAAAGTATATTTTTGATATAATAAATAGGATAATTAAAATCATATAAGAAAAATTGAAATAGCCAAATCTACGCAAATATCGAGTAAACCTTGCTACAAATATTTGTAGGAAAAAGGCCAATGAATATGACATTGGATTAGTTAACTAATTAAGTATCCCAAGTGCCGCAAAAAATTTAATACAATTTCTTGACAGGCAATTCGAGCAAATTTCCGGAAAAAATCGAACAGGCCTTCTTGTATCTCAAGATTTTTTTCACGGTTTTTGTTGCCAGTCTGAACGTATTGTCTGTTAGCAGGTTAGTCACAAAAACACAAGCTGAACGTGGACATAGATGATTATAATTTTCGTGTAGAATTCTCTTCAAATTTGCTACTAATCTGCGCGCAGTCTGTGATCAATTTGCTTATTGAGAAAATATGAGTTCAATGAACGAATTAATGCAATGATACTACCAAAACGTATTAATAACTTATAATAATATACGATTATACTTACTGGTTTAGTAGTATTCATTTCGACGAAAGAATATAAATGCGGAAAATTCTCCTGTTGTTACTTCTATAATGATAACAATACTTTCTCACAATGTCAGAAATGCACATTGGATGACGGGAAGTTACACACAACAGTCTTTGACTGCATTCGAGAAGACGTTCTTTCGCGCTCATGATCAGAAGTAATGCGATGGCCAATCAGCTACTCTTTCAGAAAAGACTAAAGCGAGGTCTACAATAAAAATACAGTCGTAAGTCATATTAATTGACAAATCATAGTCGGGTATGAGAAGAATAATTGACCGCAATTGGTCAATTTCTACGACTTACGACTATTCGACTTTTATTGTAGACGCCGCTTAATGGCTCTCACAGCCTAGTGCGATGAGCGACGCAACAAACGATATACGAGCGATATCCAGTGATCATCATAAACAAAAAATTCTTATAAACTAAAAACATTTACTTCTACGTGTACTAAAAGTTAAATAATATAATGAGAAGGTTATTTCATTATATATTAAGTATTTCATTAAAGCGTTGAAATGATATTAGGTATGTGCATACAGGGTGTCTTAAAAATATGGGAACCCTTGAATATCTTTTTATAGTGAAGTTTTTCGATAAAACTTTCAAAACAAAAGTTGTAGGATTTCAAAAGTTGAATCTGATTGTGATCTTAAAATTGACCTTAAGCTTGAACATAAAGGTCCATTAAAGGTCAACTTTATTTTTTCAAATAGAATATGCATATTTTCATGACGAATTAGAAATCTACGCTAAAAACTGACAAGCTTTTGTTTGAAACATTTTTTCAGAAAATGCTCCTTTTGACCTTAAAATGACCTTCACACTGCACGGTTTTTCTTAAAAATATGGGAATATCTTTTTATAGTGAGATTTTTCGATAAAACTTTCAAAACAAAAGTTGTAGGATTTCAAAAGTTGAATTTGATGGTGACCTTAAAATTGACCTTAAGCTTGACCTTCAAGGTTTATTCAAGGTCAACTTTATTTTTTCAAATGGAAACCTTTTTTCCCTTGGCAGTAGATTATAAAGCTTTTCATTAATAGCGACACTATTGCCTGCGTTCAGTCATCGAAATACTATTTTCGATGTCCAAGATCCACGACGCGAACGTAGCAGAATAGATTTTTGGGCCTCATTTTTGTCCAACCGATGAAGACAAGACTTTGATAATCCAGTTGATGAAGGCAAGATTATAAGTGGTGCGACCAATGAAGGTGAAACCACTTTGAAGTCAGTCAATGGGGACAAGTCGGTCGGTCCAGCCGGTGAAGGTAAGATCGTGTTCGGATAGTTACGAGAAGACCATTGTCGGGAATATTTTATAACAGATGTTCAAACTGTAAGTCATCGACTGATTGACAATGAGCAATATGATCATAGAAATTAGATGTAGCTCTCCTGATCATATCACAGTCAATCAAAGCTGCTTCTTGAAGAATACGATTACGCAGCTCGTCTAAATCATTTGGCCTAATTTGATACACTCTGCTCTTTAGATAGCCTCATAAAAAGTAATTAAAAGGTGTTAGGTCTGGTGATCGAGCAGACCACTCGATTTCATCTTTCCTTCCTATCCAACGATGAGGGAACTCGACGTCTAAAAAAGCCCGCACATCTCTCCCGTAGTGAGGTTCCCATATTTTTAAGAAAAACCGTGCAGATTGAAAGTCATTTTAAGGTCAAAAGGAGCATTTTCTGAAAAAATGTTTCAGACAAAAACTTCTCACTTTTTGGCGTAGATTCCGAATCCGTCATAAAAATATGCATATTCCATTTGAAAAAATAAAGTTGACCTTGAATGGACCTTGAAGGTTAAACTTAAGGTCAATTTTAAGGTCACCACCAGATTCAACTTTTGAAATCCTACAATTTTTGTTTTGAAAGTTTTATCGAAAAACCTCACTATAAAAAGATATTCAGGGGTTCCCATATTTTTAAGACACCCTGTATATGAATAATAGTTATTAAAACTTCTTACTACTTCCAGAAAACTTTTATATGTACTGATTTTGATAGGCAAGCGTTAAGTCATCTTTTCATTATAGAGTTATATATTTTGACGACATGCTGGAATCAATTTTTCGTCACGCAAAAATTGCATGACTATTTTCAATCAAAATAAAGTCATTTTGACTTTTCCTTGACTGTACTGTGTTCCTTGGGTAGCGATGGACAATACTTTCAGTGACATGCTTTTTACGACTTTTTTTAAATAAAGCATTAATGTTCACGAAAAATCAGTGAGAACTTATTCAAGGTCCTACTATTTCTTTGATTTTTTAAAAATATCAGTATATAAAAATAAATAGATGACTTCCTGACACAAAAAGAAAATTAGTTTTTTTTAATGTAAAAACTGTTTAAATAAATATTTGCTTGTTTTAAAAGTAAATGAAATACAAGTAAATGTAAAAGTAATGAAATATAAGCAAATCATTTTATAAATCTAAATAAATTATTTTGTAATGTTAAATGTATCTTTGGGTTTCAAATTAAAGTTTCTTTTATTATCAGAAAAAAATTTATTTAAATTTACAAAGTGATTCATTTGTATTTTATTTACTTTTAAAACAAATAAATATTTTTTAAATATACTTTATACATACTTGTTACACATACTTTTTACATTTAAAAGGATCTATTTTCTACTTTTAAATAGATCATTTGTTTTCATACATGGATATATATATATATATATATATATATATATATATATATATATATATAT